TATGTACCTTTCTATTGTACCTACATTACTCCCATTGTATGTACCTTTCTATTGTACCTACATTACTCCCATTGTATGTACCTTTCTATTGTACCTACATTACTCCCATTGTATGTACCTTTCTATTGTACCTACATTACTCCCATTGTATGTACCTTTCTATTGTACCTACATTACTCCCATTGTATGTACCTCTCTATTGTACCTACATTACTCCCATTGTATGTACCTCTTCTATTGTACCTACATTACTCCCATTGTATGTACCTTTCTATTGTACCTACATTACTCCCATTGTATGTACCTTTCTATTGTACCTACATTACTCCCATTGTATGTACCTTTCTATTCTACACACGTTCCTGCTGCCGCAGACACATTTCTGTTATATCCACGTTACTCCAACTATAGGTATATTTCTATTGTATCCACGTTACTCCCACTATACGTATATTTCTATTGTATCCACGTTACTCCCACTATACGTATATTTCTATTGTATCCACGTTACTCCCACTATACGTATATTTCTATTGTATCCACGTTACTCCCACTATAGGTGTAATTCCAGTGTAAGTACGATATTTAGTTTTTCTACTGTAGTTCAATTCATGAATATTTGTGTTTTCCTCTCTCTAAGTTAGAGTATATAACGGTAATCATGTTATTTTAACTTTAATTGAACATTTTAGAATGAAAGCATTTCTAATTACAAATTTTATTTTTCTTCAGACTAATCAAGCTCACAATAAAGCGCTGAGTTTTGAGCTGGGAGACCTACGCAACTCTAGTATCACCAGCGAGGAAGGGCCAAGCGGCGACAAGATAAGAGCAAATAGTATGGAGACTCGTAACGGACCTATTAGTGTGACAGTGACATCTCCGAGGCCCGAGAGAAGAGCTTTTTTCCTGCGAGGGGCAGGTTTGGGATCGTCCACCCCAAACACATTATCTGTGGGACCCGCCTATAATATGGGTGAATTAGGAGAACAGAAGGAGCAGAACGCGGTCCACCCACCTCGTTCCATACAGGTTAAAGTGCGTGTTTATGTGTGCGCATGTGTAGCTAATTTCAACAAATTATTGACACACAAATATGTATAACCTAGATTGTCTAGTGATTAATATCTACTGATTTTGTAATCAACCCTTCTACCCTCCCTTTCGTATTTAAATCTAATGATTTTGCTTTACTTACAAGGAAATGTTACTTACGAATTTAAAATTTACGTTCCACCGAATCTTTGTTATATTAAATACTCATCTATGGTTTTTCTACACAATAAATGTTGCCCACGACGAAAAAAAAAAAAAAAAAAGAAGATAAATTACTTCCGACAGATTGAATTTTCTAGCTTGTGTAGAACTGTTCTCACAACTGTTCCAAATAACAAACTGTGGTTTTCTAACGTTTACACGTGTGGTATCTAAAATATTGGACAGAGGAATGACTGGCCACATTTATAAGTTTGTTATTCTAACCTTGTGTGAATGTGATTTCTAACGTTTACACGTGTGGTATCTAAAATATTGGACAGAGGAATGACTGGCCACATTTATAAGTTTGTTATTCTAACCTTGTGTGAATGTGATTTCTAACGTTTACACGTGTGGTATCTAAAATGTTGGGCCACATTTATAAGTTTGTTATTCTAACCTTGTGTGAATGTGATTTCTAACGTTTACACGTGTGGTATCTAAAATGTTGGACAGAGGAATGACTGGGCCACATTTATAAGTTTGTTATTCTAACCTTGTGTGAATGTTGAGACAATATCGTTTCATCCATAATGAGATATTTCTGAGTTTCTCAACTGAATAATTTTTTGTTTTATTTTTACGTAGGTGCCAGTGATTTCCCAGTTAACCAAGAACAACTCTCCCACGCCACGGTTACCTGCCACTTCTCCAAATTCGCCACGTGTGACATATCGGCACTGGCATTTCGGTCATAAGCCTCCTCTTCTGAAGACGAAGAACATATCGGGGCTTGTGACGCACAGCGCCCCAACAAGTCAGGGACCCAGTCCCGTGCATAGCTTTGATAGTGA